TTATTGTTGCAACTTTAAAGATTTGTAATTTTACACAATGAAGGTCTAAATTTTAAAAATGCCTTATGTTGTGGATAGGATTAAATGATTTTCACATTTCTCAATGATCCAATAAATAACTTAATAATACCACATTGTCTGTGTGTAATTGTGGACTCATAATGCCTCATAGAGTCCATGTATTTCAACTACAGTCATAACTCTCCATTATTGCAAATTTCACTGTGGGGAGCCAATATAGGGTTAAGCCTCGGACTGACCTGTTGGCAAAGTCACAAACAAGTCCCAGCTTAGAGGGCACAGTCCTCTTAGCATATTTAGGCTTGACCTTATAACGCTCCCTAGATCTTACCTGGGAAACTAATGGGCTGAGGGAAGTGCAATAAGAACAAAAACAAGTGAAACTCACAAGAACAGTGTAACTTTGGTAACCACTATCTTGTTTACCTCTGACTATAAAAATAAAGGCTCAGATTGCCTCGGGATCTTTTCTCTGTGGCCTCAGCCAGGCACAGGAAGATCCACAGAGACTAAAGAGAGCTAGAGAGTTCTGAACGCTGTCTCCGTGTAAAACATTCTTCGCCGACTCTGTCCACACCTTTGGGAACCCCTGGACTGCTGGGGCTGGACCCCGGCATTTCACCAATAGAACCCCCTATTCTGTTGATTCTTAAATTCTTTGGACATGACCTCATTAATGCTTGAAAGCTATCTTGCTTTCATACACATAAAATGCTTCAAATTTATTTTATATCTCTCTGTAGGAAACCAGAATCAATTATTTCTTAAAGAAGTCATAGTTATTTTTACTGAAAAAAAAAATAGTATGAGAAATAAGGATGTCTGTATCTTAAAATGTTCATGTGTAGAATGAGAATAGCACTACCTACTAACATTGACTTGTTAAAATAATTCAACAAAATAATTCATATAAATTTCACTGCCCAGTGTCTGGTCCACAATAAATATTACCTTCCCTTATTATTATCACTGAAATGGAAAAAAATATGAAACAGATTCTCTGATTATAGAAAAGGCTCAGGCCATTCACCTAAGACATTCATTTTTTATTTTCCTCTCAACTCCTCTCACATCTTTAATATTTCTTAGTCTTCCTTAAACTGGAGGTCCCAGCCAAGTTGCTTCTTTTACAAAGCTCAGGGATGCTAACTTTACTAGGAGGTTCGTTTAAAGGAACAATCCAACGTCCTTAAAGATGAAGATAAGATATTTTATGGGAAATAAAGGGGGCGGGGAGGAGACATATGTAATACTCTTTGTAATACTTTAAGCAATAAAACAAATTTTTTTTTTAAAAAAGTAACAATCCAATGTCCTTAAAGATGAATTTAAGATATTTTATGGGAAACAAGATGACTTTGCAGTCTTTGATGCGTATCTTTCAGCATGCTGAGTGCCGTATTATTTGATGTAGATGGTAGAAAAATATCCAGAATACCTCAGGATTTACCCTCTTGCCCATTAAAGACCTAAAGTTTCTAGATCCCGAGTCTACCTAACAGAACTCAATCGTCTATGGTAACTTTCTTATTTGTTTTAATACCAAAGATTTCCTGCCTGGGGTAGATAACAGTGCTCTATCAAGAGCTTTTGTAAGGACAGGGCACATGCCAGTGTTGTGGCCTTGATCCCTGGTGAAAGGCGTGCAGGAGGGAGCTCATCAATGCATCAATGATTCTCTCTTATCATTGATGTCTCTCTCTCTCTCTCTCTCTCTCTCTCTCTCTCTCTCTCTCTCTCGGAAACGGGGCTAAGATCTCCGCGTATGCCTTCGACAAGAACCGGGGAAGGGGCTCGGGTCCGCTGCTGCACGAGTTGCTGTGGGAGCGGCACAGGGGCGGCATCGCTCCCAGGTTCCAGGTTGTGCATCTCAACGCGGTGACCGTGGACAATCGCCTGGACAACCTGCAGCTGGTGCCGTGGGGCTGGCGGCCCAAAGCGGAGGAGACCTCCAGCAAACAGAGGGAGCAGAGCTTGTACTGGCTCGAAATCCAGCAGCTTCCCACGGACCCCATCGAGGAACAGTTCCCCGCGCTGAGCGCCACGCGATACTACAACGCCAACGGGGAGGTGGTGGAGGAGGAGGAGAGCTCCTGCACCTACTACGAGTGCCACTACCCGCCCTGCACGATGATCTAGAAGCAGCTCCGGGAGTTCAACATCTGCTGGCGCTGCCAGGTGGCCCTGTACTGCGGCTCGCAGTGCCCGCAGAAGGACTGGCCCGCCCACAAGAAGCACTGTCGGGAGATGCGGCGCCCCTTCCAGCAGGTTAATATGCTTGTAAAAAATATATATATATGAGCTTTTATAAGGAAAAAAATAATATGAGCTTTTATAAGGAAAAGAGAACACACTGCATGTGAAAGTGACTTGTGACTGCTACATGTGGAGAAAATACAGACTATTGTTTTAGTATGCCCAAATCTAGTGCACCAGCTAATATGGTAACAAGGAAGGACTAGAGGTCAGGAGTGTGTCCACATTTGGGTGTAGTTCAGCCACTCAGTGGAAGATACTGGGAAAATTACATTAGCATGCTATGTTTTCATTTCCCATTTCAAAAATGCAGATAAAATATATGCACTTGTAAAAACAGATATAAAGAGGATTGTATAAGTGCATGTTAAAGAATTGGCTCAAGATTGCAGATGGAGTCTAGTTATCATCGGCCTAATCCTCATTTAGTGATGAAATTAACAATTAACATCAATAAGAGCCAGGGAAGAGAAGAATTCATTAACACTTCAGTTGTGTTGGGGAATTCCAACAAGCTGGAGAGTGAAGATCAGGATTAGGGAGAAATGAAACTGCAAGAATCCACCACCTATAATATATGTGAAGTGTGTGCTAGGAAGGCACAAGGGGGAGATTCAGCCTAGAGTCAACACACAAGTTGGAGGAAACCCAATTCAGGCCTATTATTGATCAGAGCTAGATTACCCAAAGCTTGGTACGTTGACCCTTGATTCCATTCTGGTTTTTGCTAAACACTTTGCTAGTGTGAGGCAGTGAGGAGAGAAACTGGGAATAGGAAGGAATAGAGAGTTTCAGGCCCTTGGAAGAGCAGAAGATCTCACTCAAAGGTGGCAAACTATTGTCACATCTTGCTATGTGTCCCATCCCATCTTCCCAAAATACCAGACACATTCAACTGTCATTTTTTTAGGTGAGAGGAACTCTCAAAATCAAAGATAAAATGGAAACCAAGAATGACTACAGAATTGACAAGGAAAAGAGAGGCATCAGACTCAACCTGTGGCTGAATTCACACCTACTGAAGGAGAAATAGAACAAAGAGAAGACTATCAAGTATTTCCTGCTACAGGCATATGAAAGAATCACTTAGAGATTTTGGAAATTAAGTATTGAAACTTCAGTAAAATATCTCAGTAGACGGACTGAGTAGCAATGTGGACACTGCTGACAGATAACTAGAAAGCTGAATGATCTAGCAGATAATAACACAAACTGAAAACCAGATGGGAAATATGAAAGAAAAGACAAGAGAACTGAACAACACTGACAAGTTTGAACATCCACCTAAATGGGATTCCAGAAAGTGAGAACAGTACAAGTGGAGTGATAAAAATAATTTAAAAGTAGGAAAAGGAAAGGAAAGGCAGAAGTTGCAGAAGAAGCAGAAAATTTTCCAAAAGTGAAGAATGGCTTAAGATTGAAAGAATGCACTTCAGACTGAGTGTGAAAAGAACTCATTAGACATATTACTGTGCAATTTCAGAGCACCAGAGATGAAGACAAGATCCCACTACTTCCAGAGAGAGGGAACAGACTGGGTATGGTCAGAAGACTAAGAATCACACTGACTTCAGACTTCTCACCAGCAGCTCCAGGTACCTAGTAAACAGAGAAGTGAAATAAACGTTACCAGGTTTTAGGCCAACACACATAAAGGAAGAAAAAACTTTTGGAATAAAGTACACAGCATAGGTAATCTATACTAATAAAAGGGTAATATGCTAATTAGACTGGACGTCTTCCAGATGTCCATTTGGACAAAGCCACAGCGGTTCAGTGGCTGTGAGGGCCAGGGCTCAGGCAGCTGTAAGCCCCGGCGGCTGCAAGGCCCGGGGCTCAGGTAGCCGTGGCGGTCAGCAGTGGCAGCAGCAGCAGGGTGAGGGGGGCGGCACCTTCTCCTGATTGGCCTGGTCGCCTCCACAGAGGGAGGTCAAACTGTGTCTTAGGCTCACTCCCTGTGAGAGGGGGCAGGCTGGGCTGAGGGGACGCCCCCCACCCCCAGTGCAGGAATTTTCATGCACCAGGCCTCTAGTATAGTCAATAATGTTGTATTATCTATGTTTGATGTTAGATGGGTACTAGACTGATCGGCATGATGACTTCGTAAAATATTATATAAATGTCTTACTAATATGTTGTTCACCTGAAACTCATATAACATTGTATGTCAAATGTAATTGAAAAATTAAGAATAAAGAAAATGTACTAATAAAATAAAAAATGTTCAGTACATTAGAAAATATGACAAAACAGCATTTAATTAGAAGAGCAATTTTTTAAAAAATTTGGACATACGATTAGTTCAGTAAGTTTAATACACGGAGATTCTCACTTTCTATCTTTTAAAATAAGGTATAATTTACAAACACACAGATCTTATGTTACAATTCCATGGGGTTGAAACAAGTTTACACTCATAAAACCTATATCATTTTCAAAGAAAAAGAACAATATTATCACTTCTGATAGCACTTCATAAATGTTAGCATATTTAACTTAAAAATGAAAACACCAGTAAGAGTGGGCACTATTATTCCCTACCTGTAGATGAGGAAACTGAAGCACAAAGATTAGACAACTGGACAAACACTAGTAAATGGATGCAACCTTGGGACACAAGCAGACTCCCAAACCTGTAGAACCAGCTTTCTGAATATGCCACCAAGAGGGAGGGACTGCCTCTGGGTCCCACACCAGCTAACAGAAATTTCCCACTCCTGCCAGCCTTTAAAAGAGCAAGTCCTGCATTAAGTGCTTCAGCTTAATGATTTCTATAGAAAATTTACCAAAACACGCTTTGCAAGTCTGAGCTGTGCATGCAAAGATAAAGGGGATTTTATATTCTGGGAAAGTCTGCTGCCTCCCATCTGTTCCTGGGGACCAGTCTGCGTGGAGTTCACCTTCCAGGTGAGAACTCATCTCACTGGAAAGAACCATTGCTTTGGGAAACCCACACCCCCTTCTCCCTTTTCTCCTACAACAAATGACCTTGGTGGTTTTACAGAAGTGTTGAGTTTATTTAGTGATACTTGGACCGTGGGAAAGGGAGTCTATTCCCTTTGAGAGAAAACGTTTCTGCACCTACTATGTACACAGCAGATGCACAGTGGGAAAATTCTCAGGAGGACTAAGTCAGTTCTCCATTCTGAACAAATAAAAGTTACGAAGGGATTTTGGAAGCTGGTGGGTGAAGGGAGAGGTAATAACATTGGGAAGAAAGGATTCTTGGTCCAAGTAACATTAATTTAGCACCTAGTGTATAGAGATACTATGCAGACATTATTTTGTTTTTTTTTTGGGAGGGGGGGGGCGAACAGTCTAAAGGACGCAGCTTGTTCCTGGGATAAATGTTAACCAGGAGAATAAAGTACTCTATTAAAATCAGAAAGAAAATATTCAGACCAGATGTACTATTCATTTAAATCATGTGTGTGTGTATGTGTGTGGGTGGTGGTGGGGGGAGGGTGCGAAGGAGGTAATTTAAAAGATTTTATCTATAGTGCTCTGACCATAAAATAGGTTTTTTAAATTTTAAAATTTTGTTTAATATATTTGAATATTATTGAAAACTTAAAAATAAGCCTTTCTTTTCTTCCAGCAATTACACTTCTAAAAACTTTATCTTAAGAAAATAAACATGGATGCATATTAACAGAATCTGTTCAACAGAAAATTATTAACAAAAGAGAAACACAGTTAGCAACCCTAAAGTCCAATAATATGAGACTGGTTCAAAATATGTATGGTACATGCCTGCAATGAAATAATAAAAATAGAATATCTGTAATTTATAATAATGAAATATATAGTCACTATATATAGATATTTTTTAACATTCATGTTCTAAAATATTTGATGACATCGATTCTGTCATTTTAAATTTAAAACAAGTTAGAAAATTATATATATATAACATGCCCTTATTTTTGTAAAAAATAAAACAATGTGTAAAAACAAATGGATACATAGTCTCAAGTTAATATGTATCCATATTAACTGGATACTGCAATTTTTCTTTTCTTTATAAAATAGTTTTTAATATTTTATTTTCCCTTCTAAATTTTACTTTCTATATTCTTAAAATTCTCATGTATATTGCATATTGAATATGTATAAGCACAGTTTATATATTACAATAATAAAAAACGATGTACTATTTTCTGATCCACATTTTCTCCGTTTGTTTTAATACTGTCCCTTGTGCATGCCTGTGTTGTATCATAGTTCTTATGGTAATGGCTCCTTGCAGTTGCAATATACTAACAGGTCATAATTTATGTAACCTTATTCCAGTGACAAAAGAGACTGTGTCTTATTTTTTGCTATTTGTTGATGTTGCTTTATAAAACTACTCTTTACAACTCATTTTCCTTGTTTGAGTTGTCCCTTTTGAAGACATTTCCAGTAAGGGGAAGACTGGGTCTAAAGCGCCTTCTTTGTGGACTTTGCCCACTGCCAAGGCTGAAAGCTCACATAAGCTGTTTTAGAGCCACTTCAAGTTTCAGAAACGTTTAAGATGAAGAAAATGTTCTCTCTCTTAAGTATGATGAAGGTTTCATAGGCTTATAATGTGTTCAATCTGTAGACTTGTTCACATTATGTGCTTTTAATTGTGCCCATTTAACTACTCAGTGTGCCCTAGCCGATTTGGCTCAGTGCCCTAGCCCCGTGGTCGGCACACTGAGGCTCTCGAGCCACATGCGGCTCTTTGGCCCCTTGAGTGTGGCTCTTCCTAAGCCTTAGGAGTACCCTAATTAAGTTAATAACAATGTACCTACCTATATAGTTTAAGTTTAAAAAATTTGGCTCTCAAAAGAAATTTCAATCATTGTACTGTTGATATTTGGCTCTGCTGACTAATGAGTTTGCCAACTACGGTAAGGCATAAACCAGGGTAGACAGGACTGCTCACTCATTGGCTCATGGAGGCAAATGTTCCAAGGTGAGCTGGCCTGCTAGTGTGGAATTTGTCAGTCAAAAACTAGCTTCCCATGGATGTAATTAGAAAGATAATAATAAAATAAATGTTTGAAATGGCAGTGCTAATGAATAGACAGTCTTTCCAAGGTAGTGGATAATTCCCACTGAAACTTGATCACCTCCATTGTACCTAATTAATAAATAGTAAAATTATCCACCTGTTGTGCAGCCCACAAATCTGGATATCTTCCATTACACCTCCTTCTACTATCTCTGGAACCCACTACTTCACATCCTATGTTGATTATCAAGTTCTGTTGATTCACTATTTAAAAAAAATCACCCCTCCACCTCTTTCTACGTCCACTGTGGGCATCTTTTTTAAAAAATATATATTTTATTGGTTTTTTACAGAGAGGAAGGGAGAGGGATAGAGAGTTAGAAACATCGATGAGAGAGAAACATTGATCAGCTGCCTCCTGCACACTCCC